TGGACTCCACACTTACACGTGGAGAACCTGAGAGCAGGAAATGAGGGCAGCTGCTTGTCTCCAGTATATTTCTGCTGCAAGCCTGTGTGTGCTGGGGCTGAGTGGGAAGCAGAGTGCTCTGAGCACCATGGTCTTCCTGAGAAGGTGGGATGAGGTGAGAGCCAAAGGCCTGATGGGGAGCTTTGAGGGCAGGGACCTCCTCTTGGTCATATTTGTCACCCAGCACCCCCCACGGTATCTGGTGTGCACAGATGCTCAGTGCAGGTGCCAGGCCCCAGTGACCTGTTGGATCCATGGATAGGTGGGTTGATTAATGAATCAATTGAACAGTGAATCAATGAATCAAAATACTGTGGATCGGAGTGACTTTGAGCTATGCTTTGGCTTAGGTCATAGCAATGCCACCACCTCTGTCCCCTTTCTTGTACTTTGATAGAAGATATTAAAGAACAGTCTGTTGTGTATTAGATGAGGAGGCCATGCCAGGTTGGAAGAGACTGGACTTTAAGGGGATGAGGGGTGGGGTGAAGAGGACACCGGGTAAGCTGAGGAATGAATCATCCTGGAGAAGTCCCAGTCAGGACCAAGACTCAGAAGACTAAGTTCAAATCCCTGCTCCACCATGAACTAGGCCTGGGGTTAGGCAAACGCATAATTAATACTCCAGGCAGTCCTTTAATAAAGGTCACTTGGCAACCAAGGGGCAGCTATGGCTCAGCTAGACACCAAAGCCGAGAGTAGTATCATTCCTCCAGCATAAATGAGGCAACACACGGAGCAGAAATGATTACACAAAAAACTAGAAGAAATAGAAAATATTACCCCCAAACTAGAGAGCCCCAGAAGAAATGCCTAATGCAAAAAGTGAAGTAGTAACCATCTCTTTGCCAGCAGGTTGGGCTGGTCTGTTGTACATTAGGTCCAACCCTCCAGGCGGGGTAGCACACACCAGCCCTGAGTATGGGGTAATGAGGTCTGGAGAAAATTACTGCTCTGGGCCTTGTGGATCCAGAGAGTCCCATCTTGCCTCCCAGCATCCCATAGCCCTGGTCCCCGCCAGCACTCACACACACAGCGGCTCCGGGATGGATCCAGCATGAGGCCAGGTCCACATGTGCACAGGTAGCTGCCCTTGGTGTTCACACACTCTGCATCCTTGCACAGGCCCAGGGTGGAGCATTCATTGATATCTGCAGGGTTAGAGGAGATGACCAACACCCACCCCATCCCCCACTCTGAGGTCTGCTGGAGGGGAGGGCTGAGCAGACACCTTCAAATACTTCCTCCAAATTACAAGGACAACGAAAAGAAAGCCGCTATTCACTACGCATGACTCCTCTCTCGGGGCCTCAGTCTCCTCACGTGTAAAATGGGGATAATAAGAGTAACTGTCCACTAGTGTTGTTAGAAGGATGAAATAAGATAAAAATTGCAAACCACTCAGTCCGCTGATGACGTAATAATGATCACAATATTAAGGACTAACATCATTGAGTACTTATTACACGCCACATGCTCTGCCAGGTATTTAAATATGATACCCCACTTAATTCTCACAAAACAGTTTTAGCAAGTAGGTCCACATGCCCTCACATTAGTGAAGGAACTGAGGCTCTAGGAGTAACTTGTCCAGAGTCACTGAGCTGGTGGGTGGCATGCTGGGATGCAGATGGGGGCACAGGCAAAGGGGACTGTAGGTTGGAGGCTGGAGAACAGGCAGCCACATTCCTTCCGTCCAACCATCCTCCAGAGGCCCCTCAAGCACTGTGGCAGGGCCCAAGACCCTGGGGACATGTCTGCTTTGAACTAAAAGGCCCCTGGCAAGGAGGAGGCCAGAGATTGAAGGGAGGTACTGAAGGGTCTAGGGAAGAGGGGAGCAGGTGCCATAGCAAAGGTAGGCAGAGGCAGAGGTTAGGGGCCGTGCCTCCAGGTCCTGGTGAACACCCCAAGCCACACACATGCCCCCAAGACTAGTGGATGTTCATGCTGCTCTTCAGACAAGGGAGCCAAGTTAGCTCCCTCTGCAATCTCAAAAATTTTCATGCTGCAAACTTCCTCCCGCGGAGGAGAAATCCCAGCCCTCATATTCTAAGCTTCAAGAAGGCATCCTGGTGATGGCGCCTCCACTGCTAATCATGACGGCAGCAGAGACGATGAGCGTGAAAGGTTTGCAAAGGGCACCCTTATGCAGCTCCAGGAGATAGCACAGGTAGCCCAGTGTCATCAGAATCATCAGCACACCCACAGGGTTTGGGGAAACTTGCACTGAGCTTGGGCACCAAGGGGAGCTACTCCTTGGCAGGAAGCCCCATTGGGGTGCCTGGGAGCTTCTGTGGAGAGCTAGGAGGGGGCACCAAGGCCTCCAAACTGTGGCCAGAGTGATGCCTCTAAACACAAATGTGACTTGTCTCTCTCTACGTGAGAAGCTTCTGGACTCCCCATCACCTCCTACAAGGAGCCCCTATACATGGTATCTGACGCCATCCACCATTTTCCCAAAGCCCATGGGGCAAGCAGGTGACTCTGAGGAGACACTGGCATGCTTGTGGCATCTCCTGTATTAACATAGAGGCCATGCATATAGTGCCCTCTCAGACACTCAAGGCACCCCCAAACTATTGCTTTCCTTATGCCATTCCCTCTGCCTAGAGAGCTTGCATCCCTATAGCCAGCCAACCTGTACTCATTTTCTAAAGAGTATTGGCTTAGGTACTGCTTCTTCCAGGAAGGCTTCCCTGATTCTCCCATTCTGGGAAGGGGCTCCAAGCATGAGATCCCAGAGCACTCAGTGAGTCCATCCTTCTATCTAGAATACTTCACTCATTGCATAAAATTGTTTAGCTGTCTGTCTTCAGCAAAAACAGAGACTGTGCCTCCCAGTACCCCTCCTCCAGATTTCTTCAGGAGAGAGGAGTCTGAGGAAGCCCTGAGTGGCCGGACTGCCTACCTGTGGGGCGCCAGGATGCAGAAGTGATCTCCAGCCCATGGATAAGGAAAGGTGCTTGAAAGAGGCAAAAGAGTGAGCCTCTGGCCCAGCCTAGTTGGGGCCAGGCTCCCATAGGAACAATGGTCTGAGCCTAGTGGACAGTGGATATTGGAAGAAATCTGTATTTTGGCCCTTGATGGCCACAACAGGGCATTTCTTATCTAAACTGTCCCCAGTGACTTCCCCTTCTGACAGCTCACCCAATCTGGAACCCCAGGAAGGGAGTCTTCTTTCCCTTTCTGGCTGTGCGTTGAGGCAGTCGGAGGGAGGCCTAAGCAGCTTAAGGTGTCACCAGCTCAGGATGACACCTGATATGTAGGATCAGGGTAGCACCTTTAGACAAAGCACCTAAAGAGGCACTTGGCCCATGTTCTAGGTGGCAGTGAGTGTAGATGGGGGAGGGAAGGACTCCCTCTGTTACTCTCAAGCAAGTCTCTGACTTCCCTAGACCCCCCAGAACCAGCAGCCCCCATTTCTCCCTTAAGCTGGAGCTTAGAAGTGCCCAGTGGAGACCACTCCAGTGGCGTGAAATCCTCCTCCTGCCTAGGGGTGTGGGCATCCCAATACATCAGTAATAGGCCTCATCATTTCCCCTTCCCAAGCCCAGCCCCAGACATCCTACCTTGGCAGTGAGTGAGATTCAGTCTCTTATACCCCTGGGGACACTCCAGCTGGCCATTTTCAATCACTGGGGAGGCTGCAGAGTGAAGACACAGACAGGTCTCACTGGATGGCCCTTGAGCTCTTCTGTCACCCATGCTGGGAGGTGGTGTGCAATCTGGACATTCAGCCCACCCTGCAGCTGAGAGCCTGGCCCCCCAAGTCATTGCCCTGGGCAGCTGCATCTCCCAGCTGTCACCAGTCTCCTCTCAGCCCACTTTGCTTTTATTAAAAATGATACTGAGTGTAATACGCTGGCACAGAAAAACAAATAGCCTATGACCTCACCTACATGTGGAATCTAAAATCAGTGAACCCACAGGAGCAGAGGTGGGGGCGGGGCCGGGGGCTGGGCAGTTGTTGGTGGAAAGATACAAAATTCCAGTTAGACGCAGGAGGAACAAGTTCAAGAGATCTATTGTGTAACATGGTGATTGCAGCTAATAACGATGTACTGTATGCTCAAGGATCGCTAAAAGAGTAGATTTTAAGTGTTCTTGCCACAAAAAGAGAAAAATCCTTAGTTGAGGTAATGCACACGTTAATTAGCATGACTTCATAATATGTACGTATTTCAGAACATCACACTGTACATAATATATAGAGCTTTGTCAATTAAAAAAATTTAAATAGTAAGAAAAAATATACTGACTATATACCTCATATGTGTAGTTATAATTTTTGTTTATTTGTTTGTTTTCTTTTTCTTTAAGGCTACTCAAGTGAAGCAGTGGCTGTGTAGAAAGAACAAAGGAATCTGTAACTGGTTGTGATCAATCAGTTGTAAACAGCACTGCGCTCAGACCGGACTGTAGCTAGAATATTATATATAACATGTAGTGTACTATATGCATGTTATGCAATAGAACATGTAACTGAGAAGGGTCTATTATTTTTTGCTTTTTATTTTGAGTTAATTATAGAGGCACAGGACATGTCTGCACGCTGAGGAACAGAAAAATGGTTCTCAGTGTTTTGACGCTAACACACATCCTGCCTTGATTTCACAACATTCCTCCTTACTTTACCAGAAGAAAATAATAAAGGACACTAATTAAAAACAGGGGAAACATCTCCATTACTTTGGAGGGACTAGTGTGTCCACCCCTTTGGAAAGCTCTAGCAGGAGGTATGCTCCTGACAGCCACCTGTCATCATAGAAAAAAAGCAGCAAATGGACGGTATCATCCTTTTGTGAAAAAAACATAAAAGAAGAACTCATCTTTAAGTTTGAAAATCCCTTTGCCAAGAGATAGCCAGCAACTCTCAAAGAGTGCAAGCAATTTTCATAGAACTTATTCCATATGAAGTTCCGTGAAGATTCCATCATACTTTAAAGGTCTTGCTTTATTTTGCTTATTTATTTATTTATTTATTTATTTGAGACAGAGCCTCAAGCTGTTGCCCTTGGTAGAGTGCTGTGGCATCACAACTCACAGCAACCTCCAACTCCGGGGCTCAAGTGAGTCTCCTGCCTCAGCCTCCCAAGTAGCTGGGACAACAGGCGCCCGCCACAATGCCTGGCTATTTTTTGGTTGCAGCTGTCATTGTTGTTTGGCGGGCCCGGGATGGTTTCAGATCCACCAGCTCAGGTGTATGTGGCTGGTGTCTTAGCTGCTTGAGCCCCAGGCGTCGAGCCATTGTGCAATCTATCTTCTCTGGCTTTGATTTCTTTGTGACAATAGCTTGTCTCCGTACACTGCGTATACAGCACTCTCCATCATTGTGAACTTATCCCAATTCCTTCTTACTATAGATGTAGCATCAGTGGCCACACTTACAGAGCAGGTTGTAAAGATTATTTTCATCCAAAAGGTCATTTACTATTGAGAATATATGTTCACTGACAACTTGGATTTTTACCTAACAAACACAAACAACGGAACCTAATGGTTTATCCCCATATATTTATCTGAAATTTAAAAACAAAAGGAAACATTCTTCCATAATTAAAAAAAGAGAATATATATTCACTGGTTTATTCTTTAGGTGGCTTATAAAAATATAGTTCTTCATACATTTGCTTGTTGAAACGGATTCTTGCAAATACCGAGAGACGTGTTAGAAATATCTATACTTCTGTCCAATGGTACACCAAAATCTGAGTGTCTTGGTGTTTTAAAATTTTTCCTAATAAAGATAACTTTTATTTCATCATTAACTGCTACCTGCGGGCACATTATACACTTAAGACAAGGATTGTTATTAATGACAGCACATTTAACTCTATATTTCACATTTTCTCCTTATACATTTGGACCCTGAGGTACATTTGGGTCACATCTCATAGGTCATCATTCTTTTCACCTTGTAATGACTAATGACATGTTAGAGGCCTTCTGAGAAGTGTCCGTGCTGCCTTTTTTAATGACTGTATACAAATAAGTTATTCACATTATTTTGAGTCCACAGCTTCTTTGCAGGAGTTTTTTAGAGACATCTCTTCATTTTGCGAGGGTTGGTTTAGAGGACTAGACATCATAACTGAAAAGTCCCGTAAACTGAGCACCATGAACCGCGCTATGTCGTAATACGCCGAAGACAGACATAAGGAGGTGTCACATTTTCTTGGAATCCCCACTCTTCCCTGAGGACACACCCTATGCCAAACATGACACGCGATGGTCTGACATATGGGTAGACCAAGGGACGACATAATGGGTAACACTTAGTTGTTATTTTTTTAGGATTGAAAAATGTAAATTGAAGTTCTAATATTTTTTCCTGTCTTGCTCTGAGCCCTCGTATCCCACCATGGGGACTAGGCTCTAGCCTAGAAGACCACTTTTATAGAGAAACATGTGGATTCTGCAAATGCTGAAGTTGCAACAGAAAGATGAGAGTGAGGCTGGAAAATGTGCATGTCCCTGGCATGGGGCCTGGTGGTATGAACTGAGGAGCGAGAGGAGGGAAGAAAGAGAGGGAGTTGTCTGGAGAAACGCAGATAGCAAGCTGATTAATGCAGCCTGTGAACATTATGAAGAGCAGCAGGTGGGAAAGGGTATTGCAAGGCTCTTGCCAGAGGGCTGAGAAATAATGCCAAGTTAACGTTAATATGACGCTTTTGCAAGGCCATGGGTGCACACTGTCCCCTCTGTTTCTCACAATAACTCTGTAAGGCAGGTCAGGAAAGCAAGGCTCAAAGAGGTTAAATAACTTGCCCAGGTGAGAAAGTTGGTTGGAGTCGAATCAGGGTTGAATCCAGGCCTCTGACCTTGAAGGCCATATCCTTCCCAATACTCTTCACTGCTGAGAGAGAGAGAGAGAAAGAGAGAGAGGAGAGCGACAGAGAGGAGAGACAAAGAGACACAGAGAAACAGACCAGGGCAGCATTGCCTCTCCAAATTTCAAGAGGGAGAAGTTAGGCAAAAAGTCCTCGTCTCTTTAATGATCGGGAGAAAAGTGGCTGAGAGTTTGGATTGGAACAGGAGCAAGGGTGGACCCTGCACCTGCTGGGACCTGCAGGAAACTGAGAGAACTCCAGAGTGTGTTGAGCTGAGAGGACTTGGGTTCATTCGTTAGTCTGGAAACACATATAGACTTTTTCTATGAAGTGGTTTCCCTCTTGGTAAGGGGACTCTGTCCTCTAGCTGGCTTGAATGTGAAGGCAGGAAATGCCAAGCCACTATCTCAGATGAAGCTCTCATTTTTGTGAACACCCCACCCCCACCCCAAATCAGGCCCCCCAGTGCCCTATTAGAGCTAGATCCCAGCTTCTGTAAGAGCAAGTGCAGTGTCCAATCCAGAAAAGTCAGCTTCAGTCTCCTTGGGAGAAAGAAAGCAGAAGTGTAGGTGGTCATGTGGCTCGGGGTGAGGACTCAGTAGCCAGTGAGCTGTGTGATTTACAGTGGGAA